TCTGAAAGTAGAAGAGGGACGATTACGGAAAGGAAAGAGAGAGGGGAGGTGGAGAACAGGAGAGGAGCAAGAGAGAATAGTAGAAAGGATAGACGTGATCAATGCACAATATATACAGGTATGGAAATGACACATTGAAAACCCATTAATTGTGTCAATAACTAAAATTTTTTAAAAAGAATATCTTCTATAGAGTAGGAGTTTTTAATTTTGATTGAAATATTTGACAGACATTTACAAGCCTCTAGTAGACACACCAAATCATGAAATAAGGTCTCCACACTACTTTTCTGGCTGGGTCTATGAGATTTTCAATGTTATTATGGAGAAAGAAACTTTTTCTTAAGACCCTGTTTTAAATTGGGAACTCTGGTACAGAATAGAGGACACAGAAACCAATCCACAAAACTACAACTACCTTATATTTGATAAAGGGGCTAAAAGCATGCAATGGAGGAAGGATAGCATCTTCAACAAATGGTGCTGGGAAAATTGGAAATCCATATGCAACAAAATGAAACTGAATCCCTTTCTCTCACCATGCACAAAAGTGAATTCAAAATGGATCAAGGAGCTTGATATCAAATCAGAGACACGCCGTCTGATAGAAGAAAAAGTTGGCTACGATCTACATACTGTGGGGTCGGGCTCCAAATTCCTCAATAGGACACCCATAGCACAAAAGTTAATAACTAGAATCAACAAATGGGACTTACTCAAACTAAAAAGTTTTTTCTCAGCAAAAGAAACAATAAGAGACGTAAATAGAGAGCCTACATCCTGGGAACAAATCTTTACTCCTCACACTTCAAATAGAGCCCTAATATCCAGAGTATACAAAGAACTCAAAAAATTAGACAATAAGAGAACAAACAACCCAATCAACAAATGGGCCAAGGACCTGAACAGACACTTCTCAGAGGAGGACATACAGTCAATCAACAAGTACATGAAAAAATGCTCACCATCTCTAGCAGTCAGAGAAATGCAAATCAAAACCACCCTAAGATACCATCTCACTCCAGTTAGATTGGCAGCCATTATGAAGTCAAACAACAACAAGTGCTGGCGAGGATGTGGGGAAAAGGGTACACTTGTACATTGCTGGTGGGACTGCAAATTGGTGCAGCCAATTTGGAAAGCAGTATGGAGATTTCTTGGAAAGCTGGGAATGGAGCCACCATTTGACCCAGCTATTCCCCTTCTCGGTCTATTCCCTAAAGACCTAAAAAGAGCATGCTACAGGGACACTGCTACATCGATGTTCATAGCAGCACAATTCACAATAGCAAGACTGTGGAACCAACCTAGATGCCCTTCAATAGATGAATGGATAAAAAAAATGTGGCATTTATACACAATGGAGTATTACTCTGCATTAAAAAATGACAAAATCATAGAATTTACAGGGAAATGGATGGCATTAGAGCAGATTATGCTAAGTGAAGCTAGCCAATCCCTAAAAAACAAATGCCAAATGTCTTCTTTGATATAAGGAGAGTAACTAAGAACAGAGTAGGGTCGAAGAGCATGAGAAGAAGATTAACATTAAATAGGGATGAGAGGTGGGAGGGAAAGGGAGAGAGAAGGGAAATTGCATGGAAATGGAAGGAGACCCTCAGAGTTATACAAAAGTACATACAAGAGGAAGTGAGGGGAAAGGGAAAAATAATACAAGGGGGACAAATGAATGTCAGTAGAGGGGGCAGAGAGAGAAGAGGGGAGGGGAGGGGAGGGGAGGGGGGATAGTAGAGGATAGGAAAGGCAGCAGAACACAACAGACACTAGTATGGCAATATGTAAATCAATGGATGTGTAACTGATGTGATTCTGCAATCTGTATATGGGGTAAAAATGGGAGCTCATAACCCACTTGAATCAAAGTGTGAAATATGATATATCAAGAACTATGTAATGTTTTGAACAGCCAACAATAAAAAATTAAAAAAAAAAAAAGAAAATGGATATTTTTCAGCAAATCCACTGTAAATTTGGCCAATAATAAAAAAGAAGAAGCAATTAAATTAACTGTCTGAAATCAGAATTAAATGCCCCCCCCCTAATTTTTATAATGACTTTTAACAGGATCTGAGATTGTAACATTAGCCAGTTATAAAATAATGTGGGTTCTTCACATGTACACACACTCTCTCTTTTAGATGGAGAGATGGAATAAGAAATTATTCATTATGCAAATGTTTTTAGAAAAATCTGAGGAAAAGACAAAAAAAAATTTACAAAAAGCAAAACATCTCAACTTAAACCACCAAACACTTTTCCCATAGAATATTGAACCCAACATCATCAAAGATCAATTGTTTCAAAATTTGAAAAATCGCTAAATAAAAGCAATTACTTGCTTTTTTTTCTTGCTATGCTACATATTTTAAAATATTTGTGCTTCGTTTTCAGAAGCAGACTGTCAGAAAAGTGTTTAGAAAACAGTTAAATTTTTTTCAGTATGTATGTGCAAATGCACATGAATCATTGCTGGTTTATAACACTGTTGAAAGAAATAGGAAACAATAAATTTGGTGATCTTATATTCCTTGCCAGTACATGTTGGTTGAGTAATAAAAGAGTTCTACAAAGATTTATGATACTATTAATGCCAATACTTTTAAACAAAAGGAATGCTTGCCAAATACTCATCAGAGAAAAAATGACAGGGCATCATTTACAATTTCTGCTTGATATCATACTTCTCATATGAACAACTAAATTTGAAACTCTAAAGAAAGGAAAAACTTGCATAAGACCCAGCTACTCAGGTATTTCTGTAGAAATTCAACCTTTTCATAATAAAAATCAATAACAAATTTCACACTTTCCCAAATTCAAATCAAATGTGTAAGATTTTGTGTGATCGGCAGTGTTATACAAGCCAGTTGCAGTGTTATATAAATTAGTTGCAAATGCTACAAGAAAAATTTGAAAACAGTTTGTTAATATTTATAAATTTTGACATGCTACTTATATAATTCCCTTTGAATTGGATGATAATATGCAAGTTAGTGAGTTTACTAAAGTTGACAAAGAGTTTTGAACATGAAATTCATTTACTTCAAAGTCAAAGAAATTTTTCTAAAAGCATTAAACAGTTTTGTTTACGTGCATGAAAATTTGAAAGGGATGTGATATTTTGATAATTGTTTCAGTTATTTTTAAGTATGCCTGGGACAATTTCAGTATAGAAATCTATTTTTTCAACTGTAAATTTTCAACTGAAATCTAAGTAATAATTAAGTATTTCTAATGAAAACTGATTATCTGCATTGTAATCTGTTGTAAGTATATAATACATCCAGGCTTCAAAGACAGTATGACAAAAAGAATGGAAAAGGTTGAAATAATTTTTGTATTGATCACATAGTAATATTGTAATATGCTGGCTAAATAAAATATTGTTAGAAATCAAAAATAAATAAATAAATAAATAAAAATAAAAAAAAATAAATTGGGAACTCTGAGAACAGGTGGAAGAAAATTTAAACTATTGGGTAGAGAAAGTAAGAAAAGTGAAAAATCAAACAAACAATATATTAACTCCCATCCAAAATGATTCTGAAACTCAAATTTCAAAAACCTGAAGCCAATCTAATGCTAAGAAACTCAACCAACAAACTACCAATTAGTAAATAAATACAGTCATTAAAGATGAAATTAATTCTGTAGACCAGACTATACTCCAAAATATATATAATATACATATACTCCAAAATGTATATGTTTAGGCTTTCAATAAAATAAGGAATAATTTCATTTTAAAAGAACAATAAATTATTAAACAAATGATCAAAAATGAAAGTACATTAAAAAGAATATTAATTAGAAATCTTGGGTATGAGAAAATATAGGCATTGAAGTATAAAAAATCCAATAAGGTTGGGAATGTAGCTCAGTGGTACAGCATGTGTCCAGCCTTTGCAAGAACCTGAATTTGATTCCCAGCATCTCAAAAAGCAAACAAACACAAATCTAGTCAGTAAAGAAACTTTTTATTCCAGATTTTAAAAAATAAATATGGGGAAAGACATAAGGACCTTCAAGGAAAATTTAAGGAACTTAAGGGCTCTTTCCTCAGGTCAGAAAAGATATTTCTTCAAGTGCAAACCATGCCGGAAAATATGAATAGAATCTGAGCCCTTCAAACCTACAACTTCTATAGACAAGCTAGTAGAAATAAAGTAAAGAAATCAACCACAGAAGAAAAGGTCATTGCAGTGTATAAACAACAAGTTGTTGTGGTTTGGATATCAAATATCTCCCCAACCCCAAAGACCCATGTGTTGGAGGCTCAGACACCAACACAGCAGTGTTCAGAGGTAAAACTCTGGGGAAGTAAGTGATTGGATCAGGAGGGCCCTGGCTTCATCAGTGGATTAATCCACTGAGAGCTGAATGGACTACTGGAAAGAAGTGGGAACTATAGGAGGTGAGACCTGGTTGAAGGAAGTATATCACAGGGATGTGCCCTTGGGAATTACACCTTGTCTTTGGTCCCTACTTCTCTCTACTCCCTGGCTGCCCTGAGTTGAGATTTCCTCTTCTATGCCCTTCTACCATTATGTTCTGCCTCATCTAAGGCCCAAAGAAAGGGAGCGAACTGACCATGGACTGAAACCATGAGCCACAATAAATTGTTCCCCCTCCAAGTGTTTTTCCTCAGGTATTTGTCACAGTGATGAAAAGCTAACATACAAATTATTTTCATCTTAAAGTCTATAAATTAATAAGAAAAAAAGCTAAGAGAAAAACAGGCAGGAGGGCTGCGATAAAATATTCAGAAGGGAAAACTAATGACTAACATTTACAAAGATGCTCACGAGTAATTAGAAAAATACAAATTAAAAATAATAAATCTCAAATTGGCAAAAATTAAAAAGCTTAACCATATTGAGTTTTAGTTAGACAATAGGGAGAAGGAACTCTCTTACACCTTCCAACATAAATTGCAAGAGTAATTTGGCAACATCTAGAAAAGCTGAAGATGTGCATACCCCACATGCTAGCAATTCCATTCTCAGGCATATACTTCAGAGAAGTTTTGCACATGTGCCCAAGTAGGTATGAACAATAATGTTCACTGAAGCATCATCTGTAAAAGCAAAAAAGTGGAAAAAAGCCTAAATGCTCAGCAGCAACAGAATAAAGAAAGAACATTGGTATTAACATACAATGGAATATAGATTTATACATGTAATTGCAGTATAAGACATGATAGGAAAAATAAAAACAGATTCAGGAGAGTGATTACCTCTGGGAAGTAATGGATGAAGGGGATCAGAATGGAGAGGGGCACACAGAGGACCACAGTTGAGTTGGTAATATATCTTTTATAAAATAGGAAAAAATTTAGGATTAGAGTAGTCGGTTTTAAGTATAGTCTATATGCATTGTTACTCCCTAGATTTTTCTGTTTGCTTGAAACATTAAATTTTTTTTTAAATGTTAGTTTTCATATCCTCAAAAGGTTACTTACCCTAGACTCCACCAAAACAAAGGATAAAAATAGGAAAAACAATTTCAAACTCCTTTATTATAAAGCTTGCTTTCAAAATGGGAGAATATTGTACAAATCCAAAGTCTTAAAAGTCCATATACTCCACTGACTTGGAACTCCATAACTAGAGCTTCTTTCCATATTATATCATTAATATTTCTTATAAAAACACAATAGAAGGGTTCTCTATTATCACCCAAGCCCATCATTTCTGTACACTGACAGCACTTTGTGCTTGCAAATGAGTTAGTCAACTTGGAGCTGGAAGCCAGGGCCTCACACATGCTAGGCAAGCTCTGTGCCATTCAGGCACATCCTAAGCCCAAGGAAGTCATATTTTTGGCTACAAGTCCACAGATGCTGGCAAGTAGGATCACAACTCTGACATTTGCTGTGGGACATAGATCATCTTAAAACTACAAGTAGTCTAAGATTATGCTCTATGGTTTTACCAATTCTGACTGCCTAAATAACAAGTATCTATAATTCTTGGAAACTTCATTCTCAGATTTAAAAAAAAAGCCAAGTGTTTTAGTCAGCTTTTTCATTCTGAGACCAAAAGACCTGACAAGAACAATTAGAGGAGGAAAACTTTATTTGGGGGCACACAGTTTCAGAGACAACCGGCTCTATTCCTTGGGGCTTGAGGTAAGGCAGAACATCATGGTAGTAGAGTGTGGTGGAGAGAAGCAGCTCAACACATGGCACCAGGAAGCAGAAAAAGACTACATTCAACTCACCAAATATATACCCCAAAGACATGCCCCCAATGACCCACCTCCTCCATCCACATCCTACCAGCATACAGTGACCACTCAGTTAATTCCTGTTAATTCACTGACTGGAGTAAGGCTCTTATAGCCCAATTCATTTCACCGCTAAACCTTCTCACATTGTCTCACACATGAGCTTTTGGGGGACACACTGAAACCATAACACCAAGTTTTATCTCAACAGTATAGTCATAATTTGAAACTTACCTATGTTGTTGTTGTTGTTGTTGTTAATAAGCTTTCATTCAGCATGGATAACCCCCAGGAGGTCACGCTTCCTTCAAGTGGCATAGGGAAGTATAGGGGCCACATAATATATAGTTCCTTTCCACAACTTTGGAGAAGTTGGGCCTCAAGTCTGGGCCTGAAAATTCCTACAACTACTCAAGAGTTTGTGGACAATGACTGAGGAAACAAGCCATGCAGGAAATTGTCCTCTAGGTCACTCCATCTGAATGCAAGTGAATCCTACATGTTGGGGGGTGGGGGGGAATGCTTTAATATCTTTTACAGTATTGATAAGAAAATTTTTAAAAACTATCATTAAATAGTTTCAAATTTATATAAATACTGAGAAAAGTACAGAGAATGACCATACCAAGTTTCTCCTAGTATTAACATTTTATAGTATGGTCCTTTCATCACAATTACTGAACCAATTATTACTACACTTAAGTTCGTTTCTAACTTAAGTTTGTTCAAATTTCCTTAGTTTTTACCTAATGTCCTTTTTCCCATCCAGGAAACCACATTATATTCAGTCAGCATGTCTCCTCAGGCTCCTTTAGACATTAACAGTTTGCCAACTTGCCTTATTTTTGAAGACCTTGACAGAATTGAGGAGCATTTATCAAGATATTTTAAGATGTCCCTCAGTAGGATTTACATGATGTTCTCATAATAGCCTAGAGCTATGAGTACTTTGAAAAGAAGACCATAGAAATAAAGTTCCACTTTATATCAAGGGTACATAGTACCAACATGATATATCACTGTCAATGTAAACTTTGATAACCTAGCTGAGGCTGTGTTTATCAAGTTCCTCCACTACGAAGTAGACTTTTCTCTTTTTGTACTACAATCTTGGAAGGAAGTCACTAAGACAGAGCCTACTTAAGGAGTAGGAAATTATGATCCATCTCCTTGAGACTGATGTATTTACCTACATACTGGAATTCTTCTACATGGGAGATTTGTCTATTCTCCCACATTTACTCATTCAATCATTTATTAATATTAGTGTGAACTCATAGACAGTTATCATATACTTTAGGTTATATTCAAATACTTCTTTATCTTTTTGGCCACTGAAAGCTCCCTGAGAGCTCTTTCACTTGGCTCCTGTGACTCTTTAGCTCACCTCCGTTTATGGTGGAGGGGTGATTTAGGAGATATTTTTGTTTGTTTTTAAGCACTCCCTTGCTTCTGGTATATATATGCTGCAGGCTCCTTTTTGTATTTTTTCTGCCCCAGTCTTACAATTAACCCTATCTTCAAAGAGCCCTGGTTACTTAAGTGCTAGGTGTGTTTGTTGCTACAAGGCTTTTATTGTTTCCAAGTAGTCTCAGTTGGCAGGGCTAAGAAATACATGCATATTTACCATCTTACACAATCTATATACCTACAAATATTTTCTGCACGAACCCATTGGTATCTGGGTTCTACATCAAGCTAAACATGAATTAGTACTGACACCTCCACAACTCTAATCCATTATCACATGGGTGATGCTAGTCTTCTCCCTTACTTTTTTTGTATCCTCCCCTTCCAATAGTGAAAAGTACAAAAATAAGTGAATCTATGTTCTGAGAGACACCCACTTCTTCAAATAACCATATTATTCTATTTGCTCATAACACCAAGACTCTATGATTAAAGAACTTTAAAGTTATACTAAATTCACTCAGATCTAAAATGACCTACAGCTATTCTTTGCAAAATTTTTCAGTTCATGGCTCTTACACAGCCCACTGACATAAAATGAACATGGTTACTCAAGGCGGGAGGCCATGGCTCAGGTATTTGGGAAGGCTGAGGGACCAACATCTCTGTTAACCTGGCACCCATTCATATCACCTGGAAAGTGCTGGACTCAAGTAACTAACAACTACAGAAATTTCTGAAATTATAAATAAATTACTACTCCTAGAATGTGAAAAGTAAAATCTGGGGTTAAAAAAAAAAAGAAAGAAAGAAAAACGCAATACATCAAGCCCGTATCAACTGCTGAGTCTCCAGGGTTCTCCTTTACATTCATTGGAAATTCACAGCAGTACACAGTCTTAAATTTGGGGATTTTTTTTTTTCCCACTCCTAACCTGGACTTATAGTTGAGACATTTAATGCAAACCTCCTTGACCCTTATTTACTAAAACTCTAAGAATAATGATTATTTTCTAACCTTATCACTGTTCAAAGCAAAAGATAAAACTCCCCAGCCCCTTCCACAAGGCAGTGTGCTAATCATACAGGTAAATGCAATCTTTCTCAATTCCCATTAGAGGATGCCAACCTTACAATCTGCTAGTATGATTTCTAACAGGGATGAATCCAGTGTAATTCAACAACAAAATAGCCACAATACAGGTTCTGAATTCCTAGAAAGTTCTTCTCAAAAGTCTTGTTAAGAGGTTCATAATTTGTGTGACTCCTGTGATATGACTTTTCCCCAAATAGAGAATAAATTTGTGTAGTTGATTTCAAAGAAATAATAAGGAAGCCCTATTGAAAACAATGATATTTAAGAATGATAGGAAACTTGTGTAGCACACTCTCAATGTTACCCTTAGATTTCGCCAGACCCAGAATCTGTGAACTCAGATCAGATCATCCTGGCCTCTGGTGGAATGGCTTTCAGAACTGCCTCTTTTTTCACAGCCTCAGCTTTCATTGAGACACACTTTTAGGAAAACTGCCTGATGAAACCTATCGTTAGTTCTACCACAAGGACAAGGCCTATGTTTATTCATTATTCCTTATTCCCTAAAAGAAGTTTCCTTTGAGAAATAGGTAAATTTTGTTTTCTTTAACCATATCCACCATGCTCCCGTTTTCATTTTTGTTGTCAGATAGCTTAGAGTAAAACTGATTATTGCACTATAAAAATGTAGCTCTGGAGATATATACTGTGAAATGATTTTATGAGGTTCTAATTTGTTTTTGTGAATTTTTTTTTTTTTGGCAAATTTGACTCCACAAAAGGTGCATTATTGGGGCTGGGGCTCAGCGGTAGAGCACTTGCCTGGCGTGTGTGAGGCACTGGGTTCGATTCTCAGCACTACATATAAATAAATAAAATAAAAGTCTATCAGATGGACATCATTACCCTAGGTACATGTATGACTGCACATATGATGCGGCACTATATAGTATACAACCAGAGAAATGAAAAGTTGTGTTGCAATTGTGTACAATGAATCAAAATGTATTCTGCTGTCATATATACCTAATTAGAATAAATTAATTAATTTTATTTAAAAAATGTAGCTCTGGTAGTTTATGTATTAGGTATCATTTTTCACCTGATCTTAATATCACATACCATGTCATATTTTCGATTATTGATTTGTTTTCTATTCCTACCTTACCATTTTACTTGTATAGCATTTTATTCTGAAAACTACCTCAATCCTTGTTGGAATAAGTTAGTGTAGTTAATACACATATAATTTTATTGTTAATATAGTTGTTCAATCTTTGAGGTAATAACACAAATAATGACCCCTAGTAGGAAATAAGTTAACAGAATTTTCTTTACTAGCTTCTTATATACAGCATTGAAACATATTCTCCAAAATACAAAAGAAACAATAGATGTTCTTTACCTGAAT